ATGCTACCTTTCTCAGAGAGGCTTGGCGTCGGGGAGTGCTCACTTGGAAGCATGGGCATGGCGGCGACCTCGGACTGTTTTTCGTGCGACGCAAGGACGAGCGCCTCAGGATCATCTTCGACACACGGGTCATCAACTGCGACTTCTTGCCCGCTCCATCCACTCGTCTTCCAACTCTTTCGGCGTTCGGAGCGCTGGAGGCCGACCAGCAGGTCTACGTTTCCTCTGGTGACCTGGAGGCCGCCTTCTACCATATGCTGGTGCCGCCCGACATGGTGCAGCACTTCTCTCTGCCCAGCCTGGACGCGGGGTTCTTGCTGAGCTGCGGGGTGACCGACCTGCCAGTGGGGGCGGGGGAACCCATTACTCCGTGCCTCCGCGTGCTGCCCATGGGTTTCTCTTGGGCGCTTCACCTCTGCCAGGGTGTTCTTCGGCGTGGCCTAAGCCTGGGTGGTTTCGAGCCCGGCTGCCTCGTGGAGGACGGCCAGCCTGGCCGACAGGTGAAGCGTGGCGGCCCATCGGCAGCGGCGGGCTACGTCGACAACTACTTCGTGATTGACACGTGCGCGGAGGTGGCCAACCACAGGGCACAGGCGGTCAAGGAGCAGCTGGTGCAGCTCGGCCTGGTGGTCCACAACCAGGAGTCCGCCTCCCGCGACGCGGAGTTTCTGGGGCTGAGCTTGACCGAGGGCCGCTTCCTGGCTACTCGCCCCAAGTGCCTGTGGCGGCTGCGGCTCGCCATTGAGAAGCTGCTTCGCATTGGAAGGTGCAGTGGGGGTCTCATGAAGGTGCTCCTCGGCCACGTCACCTGGGCCGCGCTTTTGAGACGTGAGTCGCTGCGTCTGGTGCAGGCCGCCTACGCATTCGCTGCCAGGGCGGGGAGCGAGCCCATCATGCTGTGGCAGAGCGTGAGGCGCGAGCTCTGGCAGGTCCGCTGCCTCCTTCCGCTGCTGCAGACGGACCTCATGTCGCCCTGGCACTCACAGGTCGTCGCTTCTGACGCCTCGGAGTTTGGCTTGGGGCTTGTGCGGCGCAGAGTGGCGCCGGCGGTTGTTGCGCAGATCGGGCGCCAGTCCGAAAGATGGCGGTACCGTGTGGAAGGTGGAGCTCGAGCGCGTGAGAGAGCGCTTGGCCCCGTCATCTTCTCATCATCGTCTCTTCCGTCCGCTCCGCAGCCTCTGGAGTTCCTCAACGAGCCCGAGTCCATTCTGCAGCCTCTGGAGTTCCTCAACGTGCCCGAGTCCAGCTTCGATGAGGTCCCCAGGGATGTCTTGGAGGAGTCGTCTTGGGCAGGAGTTGCGGCCGTGAAGATCTCAGAGGACATGAGTATCCTGGGCCTCGAAGGTGAAGCTCTCGCACTCGGGATTCGGCATCTTCTGCGCAGCTCGGAGGCCTTTGGGAAGCGTCTGTTGGCTCTGGTAGACAACCTGCCTTTGGCCCTAGCGGCCACGAAGGGTCGCGCCCGTTCTGTATACCTTCGAGGTCCTCTTCGTAAGCTTGCAGCTCTCAGTCTGGCCTCTGTCTCTCGAGTATATGTGAGGTGGATTCCGTCAGAGCTCAACCCGTCCGATCCGTACTCTCGTGGGCTCCGAGGATGGTTCTCTGGCGGCCGTTTGCCGAAGGATCGCACCCTTCACGTCGCGGCCGAGACGGGCGCTGCTGCCGTGGATGCCGCGCCGTGCTGGCCGCCGCCCCGAGGGAGGCCCGCAAGCGGGTGCGCGTGCCAGCCCTGCGCGGGTCCTCCTGGCGAGCTGCTTGCCGATTGCGGGACTGACGGGCCTGGAGCGGCTTGCGGTCGAGGAGTCGACCGAGACCCCGTACCGCGGCCTGCGCAACAGGTTCACGGACTACTGCCGTTCCCACCAGGTCTCGTGGCCCCCGATTCTGGAGCTGGACCTCGCCGTGCTGAGGTACCTCAACGACCAGCTGCTGGCGGGCGCCACCGCCGCGGAGGGGAGACGGCTGCTGGCCGCGCTGTCGCACTTCCTGCCCGAGGGGAGGCGCGCCGGCAAGGCGGGCATGGCTCAGAGCTGGAGGGCTGCCACGGCCTGGAGGCGCCGCGTGCCCAGTTCCACGCGCTGCCCGCTGCCGAGGGCTGCGATTTTCGCCATCGCGGGGATCGCTCTCGCTCTGGGGCACGGGCGGATGGCGCTCTGGATTGTGATATCTACGGCCAGATACGCCAAGGAGTCGAAGCTCTTGCGAGAGATCAGCCTCGTCCCGCTGGCCAGCTTCGAGTTCGGGGAGATCGTGGAGCAGCATTTCCAGCGACTGATGGAGAGTGGCTTCCTGCTCTCGGGCGTGATCGACAGCGTGCCCGACCTGCTCGGGCTGCTCGTCATGAGGCTGGCCGTGGGCGGCTCTGCTGGGCTGCCGAGCTTCGACACCCTGAGCTGAGTGGTGGTTCGCAAGCGGCCCGCTGGCGTGGCGATCAGCCGCAAGCCGGTGGGCCGCCGCCACTCTGCCGCCCCGCTGCTGGCATAGCGCGTCGGCTGCGCCGTGAGTTCAGGCATGCGCTGCAAGTTGCCCGCCGGTGCAAGCGCTGCGTTTTCTCAGACCTGTTTGCCGGCTCGCAAGGAGTCGGCCACCAGCTGAGACAGGCTGGATACGCTACTGTTTCGCTCGACATCCAGATGGGTGTGCATGGCAATCTTCTGGTTCGCACCGTCGAGAAAATGCTGAGGGGCTGGATCGCGTCGGATGCTGTGCTGGGAGTGTGGCTTGCCACTCCCTGCGCTACCTGGTCGCAGGCTTTAAGGCAACCGCTCCGTTCTTCATCTACTCCCATGGGCCGTGCTGATCTTTCTCAGTCTCAGCGTGCGCGTCTTGAGGTAGGTAACAGAACCTTTCATGTCACCTGCCGTCTTGTTGACGCCTGTCGCAGGGTTGGGGTGCCTGTTTTCGTTGAAAATCCCGACAGGTCGCTTATGTGGGAGGCCCCCCGCATGATTGCGCTGAGACGCTCTCGCGACTGTGTCGAAGCCCGTCTTGATCAATGCCAGTTTAAGGCCCCGTGGAAGAAGGCCACGCGAATCGTTGCGTGGGGGAGCGGCCGCCTGTCTCGTCTCTGTCTTCGTTGTAAAGCCAGTGGCCGAATCTGCAGTGAATCAGGAGTGCCGCATCAGGAGTTGGCAGGGCGTGCTCCTGGTCTGGACTACAATTGCCGCCGCGTATCCGAAGCCTCTCTGCCGTGCAATTGCTCGCACCATGATTGACGTTGCCGAATCTTTGCGAACTTCTCTGTTGTGGAGCAGATTTAAACCTTGAGGTTCCTTGTTTCATTGCTTGAGTTTGTTTTCGGCCTGCCGGCCAGGTTTA